TTTCCCCTAAAATCAGGAACAAGACAAGGGTGCACACTATCCTCACTCCTATTCAACATAGTCCTGGAATTTCTAGCCAGTGCAATTAGGCAAGAAGAAGAAATAATAGGAATACAAATAGGTAAAAAATTGTCAAAATATCCCCATTTGCAGATGATATGATCCTATACCTTAAATATCCAAAAAACTCTACCCAAAAACTCTTAGACACAAGAAATAGGTGTAGCAAGGTGGCAGGATTCAAAATCAACTTACAAAAATCATTAGCTTTTCTATACATCAACAACGAACAAACTGAGAAGGAATATATGGAAACAGTTCCATTCACAATAACCTCAAAAAAAGTCAAATACCTAGGAGTAAACTTAACAAAACATGTGAATGACCTCTACAAGGAGAATTACAAACCCCTGAAGAAAGAGATCAAGGAAGACTACAGAAGATGGAACAATCTTCCATGCTCATGGATTGGTAGAATCAACGTAGTAAAAATGACTATACTACCCAAAGTAATCTACATGTTTAATGCAATTCCCATGAAAATCCCAATGACTTTCATCACAGAGATTGAAAAATCTACCTTAAAGTTCATTTGGAAACACAAGGGGACCATGAATAGCCAAGGCAATACTCAGCAAAAACAGCAATGCAGGAGGTATCACAATACCCAACTTCAGAGTATAGTACAAAGCACTAGCAATAAAAATAGCATGGTACTGGCACAAAAACAGACATGAAGACCAGTGGAACAGAACAGAAGACCCAGATATGAATCCACACAACTATACCCACCTTATTTTTGACAAAGGGGCCAAAAATATATGATGGAGAAAAGATAGCCTCTTCAACAAATGTTGCTGGGAAAAGTGGTTATCCATCTGCAAGAAACTGATACTAGATCCATGTCTATCACCCTGTACTGCTATCAACTCAAAATGGATCAAGGACCTTAATATCAGACCCGAAACTCTGAAGTTAGTACAGGAAGGAGCAGGAAACACTCTGGAACTGATAAGTATAGGCAAGGACTTCCTCAATAGAACCCTAGCAACCCAGCAACTAAGAGAAAGAAAGGACAAATGGGACTTCATAAAATTAAAAAGCTTCTGCACAACAAAAGAAATGGTCTCTAAACTGAAGAGACCACCCGCAGAGTGGGAGAAAATATTTGTTAGCTATACATTAGACAAAGGACTGATAACCAGAATATACAGGGAACTTAAGAAACTAAAGTCTCCCAAAATCAATGAACCAATAAAGAAATGGGTAACTGAACTAAATAGACCTTTCTCAAAAGAACAAATTCAAATGACCAAAAATACATGCAAAAATTGTCACCGCGTCTCTAGCCAGAAAGGAAATACAAATGAAAACCACACTAAGATTCCACCTCACCCCTGTTAGAATAGCCATCATCAAAAACACCACCACCAACATGTGTTGGCAAGGATATGGGGAGAAAGGAACCCTGGTACACTGCTGGTGGGAATGCAAGCTGGTGCAACAACTCTGGAAAAAAATTTGGAGGCTTCTTAAAAATCTAAGCATAGATCTACCACATGATCCAGCAATCCCACTCCTGGGGATATGGCCGAAGGACTGTGACACAGGTTTCTCCAAAGGCACCTACACACCCATGTTTATTGCAGCACTATTCACAATAGCCAAGTTTTGGAAACAACCAAGATGCCCCACTACAGACGAGTGGATCAAGAAAATGTGGTATTTATACACAATGGAATTTTACTCAGCCATGAAGAAGAATGAAATCTTATCATTTGCAAGTAAATGGATGGAACTGGAGAACATCATTCTGAGCCAGGTTAGCCAGACTCAGAAGACCAAAAATCGTATATTCTCCCTCATAGGCATTCTTTAGATCTAGGGCAAATATAGCGATGCTGTTGGACTTGGGTTACATGACAAGGGGAGAACACATATGGGAAGTATGGTGATAGACAGAAAACCCAAAACATGAAAGCCTTTGATGTCTCCACTCCAGAGGAGCTAATACAGAAACCTTAAAGTGACAGAGGTCAACATGAGAAGGGGATCAAGGAACCAGTGTAAAAATCAGTTAAGAGATGAATCAACCTGGATTGTAACACATTTGTACATGAAAGCAATGCTAGCAATCTCTCTGTATAGCTGTCCTTATCCTAACTAGCAAAAACACCATGTCTTTCTTATTATTGCTTATTTCTACTCTTCAAGGCAACTGGAGAAAAGCACAGAACAGGTTCTGCCTGGAAGCAAGGGGGTGGGGGGGTTGAGGGTAGAGGTGGGGGCAGAGGGGAGAAATGACTGAGATAATGTATGCACATGTGAATAAATGAATAGTTAAAAAAAAAAAAGGAAGAACGAACAATCTGTTGTTTACCAGAAATCTATCTTATGGACAGAAAGAAATGTTGCCTTAGAGTGAAAGGGTGGAAGATTTGTCAATTTAATAGCCCCCAAGAACAGGCAGGAGTAGCAACACATATCAAATAAAGTAGATTTTAAACCCAAATTCTACAGAAGAGACAAAGAAGTCTACTTCATACTAATAAAAGGAGTGATACAATAAGCAGAAATAACAATCATTAACCTATATATACCCAACATTGGTATCCCCAACTTCATTAAACATACACTACTGGACTTAAAAACACAGGTAGACCCCAAAACTGTGGTGACTTCAATACTCCTCTACCACCAGTAGATATTTCATCCACACAACAAATGAACAAAGAAGCCCTAGAATTGAATGACATCATAGACCTAATGAACCTGTAGATGTCTATTGAGTATTCCATCCTGCACAAAACAATATATAGTCTTCTCATCAGCCCATGGAATCTTCTCCAAAATAGACCATATTTTGCTCTATTTTTTTTTGTGACCTAAAGTCACAAAGCAAGTCTTAACAAATGTAAGAAAATTGAAATAACCCTCTGCATACTGTATGACCACAATGCAATAAAACTAGAATTCAACAACAAAAGAAACAGCAGAAAATATTTAAATAACTCGAGGCTGAACAACAAGTTTCTCTATGATAAGTCAGTCATTGAAGAAATAAGGGAAGAAATTTAAAAGTTCTTGGAACTTAAAATGAGAACACAACCTATCAGATCCTATGTGACATAGTGAAGGCACAGTCCTAAGGGGAAAGTTTATAGCCATGAGTGCATATATTTAGAACACAGATCTCAAATAAATGACATAATACTGCATCTTGTTTATAAAAACAAGAACCAAATCCAAAATTAGCAGGAGAGAAATAATAAAAAGTAGGGCTAAAATCAATTAAATAGAGACAAAAAAATGGAATCAATAAAATAAAAAGTTGGTTATTTAGAAAGATAAACAAGATATACAAACCCCTGGCAAATGGCTAAAAGGAGGGAAAAGACTCAAATTAATATAATTAGAAATGAAAATGGGGAGATAACAACAAACACCAAGGAGATCCAAGTCCAGAGTTCAAACCCTAGTACTGCAAAAAAAAAAAAAAAAAAAAAGAAAGAAAGAAAAAAAAACAGAGAAAAGAACAGAACAGGACTTACTCAAAGAAAGAATTCAAATGGCTAAAAATCACATGAAGAAATGCTCAGCTTCCCTGTCCATAAAGGAAATGCAAATTAAAACTAACTTAAGATTCTACCTTACTCCTGTTAGAACAGCTACCATCAATAACAGAAAAACCAACAAACATTGTTGAAGATGTGGAGAAAAAAGACCCCTCATACATTGCTGGTTGAAATGTAAATTAGTAGAACCACTATGGAAAACAGTATGGAGGCTCCTCAAAAAAAAAAAAAATAGAGCTGCCATATGATCCAGCAATTCTGCTCTTAGGGATATCCCCATAGGAATGTAATTCAGGTTGCAACAAAGGCACCCAGGTTTATTGCAGCGTTATGCACAATAACTAAACTATGAAACAGCCAGGATGCCCCACTATTGATGAATGGATTAAGAAAATGTGGTACCTATATACAATGGAATGCTAGTCAGCCACAAAGAAGAATGAAATTTTGTCATTTGTAGTTAAGTGGATAGAACTTGAGAACATCATCATAAGTGATGTTAGCCAGCTTTAGCAGACCAAAAATCACATGTTTTCTGCCATATGCAAAATATAGACCTAATACAAACATAGCAATATTAAGAAGACAGGACATGCCAAGGGGAGGTCACACACAAGAGGAGGAGGGTAAAAGTAAGAAGTTAGGGTAAATATGGTTGATATTCTCTCTATGCAAGAATGAATATAGAACTTTTAAACTGGATGAAACAACCATGACAAAGAGACTAAATTAGAAAGAAGAAAAAATAGAGGAATAGAACAAATTGTGCAGAAGTACTGCCACAAGGAAATTCCTATGTAGCTATCTTAAACAAGCAAAAATGTCATTTCTTTTTCCTTTCTTTGGCAAAAATCTGAGAACAGGAGGGAGGAACAGGTCCTGTCTGGGAGTTCTAGTAGCAATAGGAGGGGAGAAGAGGTCGAGAAAGGGTATAAGAGGGTGAATATGGTGCCAATACTCTGTACATATGAATGTAAATGGAAAAAAGATTCCTGTTGAAAGTATTTCTTGAATAGGAAGAGGTGACGATAAAAGAGAATGGTGGAAGGGAGTGAATTCAAGTATTATATATTTAATATATTACAATATATTTAATATATTGTAAGAATCTCTGTAAATACCACAGTATACCCCTATATCCAGCACACCAATAAAATAAAAAACTCATGAACAATGTAAAATGTATTATGTGTTGAACTTTTAAATCTTTGTCAAAGATATGCAAAGATGGAATAAGTTCAGGTTGACATAGAGTTTTCAAATATTTCAAATGCTCAATCCTAGGTTAAATAAATGTTTCATAGGAGATTTTGTAATTTATTTTTCAAATAATGTAACCCAAGATGTTTAAGCGAATAAACATCTTGTTAGCTGGACAGTCAGCTAACACGGCAAAACAAGAACTGAAATCCACAGCACACGGCTTCAAAGACCAAACTTTCTGTTAATAGCATTATCACCAGGAGACAACTGAAAAGGAGTTGGAAGAATGAGAACTTAATCAAAGAATATTAAGACACCTTTCCAGACTGAAATTATGAATTTCTCAAAAGAAAAGTGGCAAACAAATAGGAATTAATATTAGTTAAATCAAAAATGTCAGTTGGGCACTAGCAGTTCATGCCTACCCAGGAAAATAGTTCTCAAGACCCCATCTTCAAAAATAATCAAAACAAAATGGACTAGAGGTGTTGCACAAGTGGTAGAGCACTTGCTTTGCAAGCATGAAGCCCTGATTTCGAACCCCAATCCCCCTTCCTCCCCCTAAAAAAGAGGATGCCAGTAGTATTTAGGGATCTGTTTAGTGACACTTCCATACTTACCCGGAGTCCTGGTTCTGGAACAGGAGAAGGCCTTGAAAACTGCTTACTTAATTTCTTCTTCTCTTTTCTTAGGTTTCGCATATACCTGATACGTCTATCTATAGACTTCAGGGAAATTAAAAGAATAGAGCCAAATCACACCCTTTCTAATATGTGTGTCAATTTAGAAAAGAGATTAAACACAACCAAGATACAGGATTTATATAATTAACACAGGTAGACAATAACTATTTATTGCAAATGTGAAGAAAAACATAGGTGAAACAGTGGAGAACCAATAGGGTTTTCAAAAGAGACCATTTACTCAATTTCCTCTTCACCACTATGCACATTTCTCTAAACCTAGATTCATTGATTTTAAATGTAATGTTCATTAAAAACATGGAATGTACAAAAAGTTTAGGTTTTATTCTTTTTTTTCCCTCTGCCTCCTGAGTGGCTAGAATTATAGGCATGAGCCACTGGCTCCATCTTATTCTTCTTAAATGTTGCATTTCACACATAGCTTTTTATATAACTGCTGTATGGTATCTATAAGTAGCAAAGACTGAAGAAGTTTAAGCAGAATGCTTTGAAGAGACTGAAATACACCATTAGAGGAGAATATGAAAAATGAGAACTCTAATATTAATACTGCAAATAGGAGTATAAATTAATATAATTGCTTTGTAAACAATGTAACATATCTTTAAAGCAATGAAAATTGTGCTTTCCCTGTGATTCAGCCATTTCCCACCTATCTAAATACTCAAGTGAACCTTTTTTGCATGAGGAAAGAGGGCATGCACTAGTTTGTTAACTCTTCATTATAGGAAAATGTGGAAACAACCAAATATCTATGTACAAGAGAAAGGATTAATGAACTATAATTTGTTACACAAGAAAATATTAAACTGAAGTGAAAATAGAGGGACTACAACTATATGTAGCCAGTTAGACTAACCTTAGGACTCGATGTTGAAAAGAAACAGGGAATTGTATCCTCAATTTTTTGTGATCCTACAATTATAGAATTCAAACCCAACCAAAACCCCAACAATGCACATATAGTGTCACATGTACAACAAACTATTAAAAGGAAAAGAGTGAAGAAAATAAAATTCAAGATAGGACTTATCTCTAGGAGATACACAGGGAGGTAAAGTAGGTGGTTGGTTTCTAGATGGATTCAAAGATACTCATAATGTATTAATTCTTAAGTTGTAGGTATATTTTATTATTCTTTTGCACAAATTACATATGCAAAGTATGTTTTGTATATCAAATATTAAGAAACTATAAAATAATCCATTTAGTTTACTCTAGTTAAGACCAATTCCAATAATAATCACAAGATCCCAGCATTGAGAAAGATATTACAGAAGTATCTGGTTAATAAAAATTGTATAACATTAGAGACCATCAGACATAAAGGAATAAGTTAAAAGCACAATGTTGAAACTGCTAGAAATTAGTTTATTTAAACAGTACCTGCTTGGCACTGACCTCTGAAGGATGATTTCTTGATGCTTCCTACATAGTATGTAAAATTAAAAGACACACACATAACCACAGAAAGTCATGAGAAAGTGGAGAAGTCAATTATAACATGCTACTGCTTCTTTCTATAGTATTTGAATATCATATGAACTGCAAGGGGCAGGATAAAAAGGACAATCTCAGATGAAAAATTAAGGCACAGTATGGAGATACATTAAGAGAAAAAAAGGACCAGCTATGAACTATATTTCAAGGGAGAAATAGACTGAGATTTATTCTGACAGGGAAAGACGTACAAAAAATTTTGTTTTAAATTCACAATTCTGGTGATATGTGATTTCAGTGCTTCCAGAGTGCTTTTGATTTAGGGATCTAGGCTTTAATCTGGCTTCTAAAGCCTGGAAAATCTGCATTAATTGAAGTGATTTGGCACAAGGAACTTGGCTGTTAGAGAAGCTCCCCTCTGCCTAATTTCCAAATCTACCCTCAAACACCAAAATTCCTCCACCCTCCCTCTTTTTCACCCCAGTTTTAACCTGAAGACCCCAAGATAGTCTCCTCTGTATCTCAACATTAAGAAATTTATTCCCTCTCCCATTTCTGTAATTTCCACTCCACCCTCTAGGGCAGGTCAATGGATCAGTCAACACAGTAGATTGAACGTGCTTGACTGCTGGGAGCACTGGGTGGAACCCTTCCTCTTCCAGGTCTGTCCCTCAGTCCAGAATCTACTGTATCTCCCTAAGCACCGGTCCACAAGTGCAATGACTAGTAGTGCAAATGGCCCTGAGCCCTGGAATGCAAGCCTGGGGCAAGGGTGGCTTTCTAAAAGGAATTAAGGGTCTTGGAAGACTCACGGGGTAGACTTGGGTGCGATCATCATCTGCACAGCGTAGACACATGCTGCAGAGCCAAAAGGCGCCCTGGCGCCTACGGCCGACTATGGAGTCACCGTTGGCCCTCAACCACACTTGGCCCCACCCTGTATCCTGTCCCCATCATAATTCTCTTAACTGTCTCAGCGTGAGCCCCACCCTTTTCCTCACTCCCAATCCCATGACAAGAAAGCAAAACCCCTAGCTGTTCACAGTTTCAGAATTGTGCAGGTCAGATTACTGTTTTTCCCCATTTTCTATCAGAACACTGCGCCATACCAAATTCTCATCTTTCCAGCCCTCATCTTTTTATTTTCTATGGAACTCCCCTTCATTTCTTAACATATCCAGCTCAGCTCTATGGTTTATCGCTTCAATCTGTTGTCTGGGTTCTAAGTTCTAACAACTCATTGCCTTCCATCACAGCTTCTAGTTGGATCAACCCAACTATCTATCTCCTTCCCATCTCTCTATAGCAGAGGAAAGGTGGGACTGATGTTGGAGGAGGGAATTGAAGATGGATATAATATTTATGATTCCCAACTTAAACTGGGTCCTTAGCATTGCTTACACTGCTTTTATGTTGCCCTTGCACTTTCTTTTTTACTGTGCTCTGCACTTTTTTCCTAAACTGTCTTTGTTGTATTAAAATCTCTGAACCCACCATCTCAGTCACTCCCAGCAGAGGTAGGACAATCCTTGGTCAAACACTGATAGTGAGATACACAGATAGAGCTTTTCTCTCAGTGGTTCTAGATAGATTTATACATATTAACTGATCAGACAGCTCAGCAGGTAACTGCATGATTAGTGTTACCTGAGAAAGGAGGCACTGGCGTCTTTAATAACTTACCCAAGATTATATAATTAGCAAAAAGGTGAGCTAGGATTTAAATCCAGAATGTCTGCCTCGAAATTACATGTTCTGAATCAGCACTGTGCTACAAACTACTCTTGAAACCCAGACTGGGGATACCTTTATTTCTTAGCATCCATAGCCCTATAAACTTGTCTGTGTCCACCTTACCCTTTCCCCAGAGTCCTGTTGAAATGGAAAACTTTGGTGTTCCTCTTCTTGCCTCGAATTTCTCTGTTTCTCTTTCCATGTCATTTCCCTTCCAAGAATCTCAGCAGAGATCTTACTACATATGTTGTTCCCTCTCATTGTCAACCTCTTGTTACCACCTTTTTCCTAAATAGTTTAACACTCTATGCTCAAATCTTTCCTTCTTCAAACTAATACTGGGAATCCCTTTGAACAATAACAACTTTATATATCTCATTTCTTCTGCTGAAACAAGCATGAAAGTTGTTCCTACCATGTGTCCCTTCTTATTTACATTCAATGTAATGCTTGACACATTGCAGCCTGCTCCAACCCTCAACAACACCACGGGGACTTGTCTCAAAATGGTCATTAATGAACTTTCTTCTGAATTCAATTGACACATGACTTTTATATCATGTAATATGTTAGATGTATGTATAATGTTGGAAATGGCTGAGAGATCTATTGCATGAATTAAACTTATAAAAATTAAATTGTCATGCTCAAGTATAGTGTTTGACACCATTAACCTCTTCCTTCATGAAACTCCTCTCTGGGAAAATAAAGTTTAGCAAAATTATTTAACCTTACCCATGATCACAAATCATAAGTTGCCATAAAACCCTGTGTTTTTTTCTAAAACATCACAATGTCTCAAGAACACGTTTTGGATACTTACTATCACATATCTCTCTGGATCCAATGACTTACAAACATTATTTCCCTCACAGAAAGTCAGAAAAATTAGCACTAATGAAAAAGTAAAACAGTGACCTGTGCATGCATTTGATATCCTCTAGTTCTCTCTGAAGACAAGCCCAAGAAGACTTTTAAGTGGAGTGGTCAGAGTTTGCCACAGAGTTAAAAGAAGAACATTATATAGAGACAGTAGTGTGTGCCAATGGCAGGAAGTATGTATGGATCAGTATTATGGGGTGGTAAGTAACAATTAGTAAGCTGTCACCACTTTTTACTGATCACTTCTCATTGCCTTTCCTACTCTCTTATTTTGTACAGAAAATATAAATAAAAATGTCAACACTGAAATAAAACAATTGTTTGGAATCTGGCACTGGGAGGCTGCGGTAAAAGAATATTTCACAATCACATGTCTGACACTAGGTATTGCTCAGTGGAACCCATACAAGTCCATATTCTGCCTTAGCCACTTGAAAGCTTTTGTGTCCCTGGCCAATTAATTATTATTTTCTACATAATATTATATCTTCCAGGACCTCACAAAAGAAGTCCCTCTTTTTCATGGTGGTAGGCCAGAGAAAGGAGCTGGTATTGTCAGCTATTACTTTTGAAGGCAGAGCCCTATAAGCTAGGAATCAGACCACCGATGAGGGTAGCAGTGCCATCTGATGTAGCATGACAAGAAGTTGGATAGGGAAGAATAAGAAACCTTCTAGAGCTGAAAGACTTCTTATAAAGCAGCAGTCTCTGGCATGTGATGATAAGATTAGGGAAGAGCAGTAAAGCCAATCCTGAGGAAAAGTCTTAGAAATTGGAAGAAACTACTGACATGCTGAAGACATTTTCCACTACCAGGTGAAGGGTCATTGCTGGGTGCCACTGCCAGGAGGAAAACATGAATGAGCAAAATCCTTCTCCCCTCCACCTGCATTCCACTCTCTCCGTAGTACCATTCATTGGATAAATCTTTCAGGACTCCACTTAGCTAACTTTCAATTCTTAGTTTTTAAAGAAAAATACAATATGCTGAGTCCCAGTTGTGGCTTTACACACATGAAGAAGAGTGGACTTAGAGGTAAGAGATAAAAGCTCAGTAAGTGCTATAGCAGCATCATGCTCTGAAAAAGCCACATGCACTCTTTCATATCTTTTTTGAGAATTGTTTTAAGTCTCGTTCCTTTCAAAGTTGATGAGCCTTTGTTACACTATAGTCAACCAGAAGTGAAATCTCAAAACTTAGTTTTACTTAGTTTCTATTGAATTGCATCTGTTTTGGTTCAGTTCACAATTCTATCCCCATCAGTAATCTTTTTATTGTTTCCTTCAGCATAGCACTTCCAAGCCATCTGCTGAACAGGCCATGTCTTCCTTTAAATTTGTGATAAAAAACCATGGACAGAACAAGAAGGAGAAAAATGTGCCTTTCTGCAACATAGAATTCATCTCTTTCTCCTTGATCATGATTGATGCACCTTTTGTGCCTTTGGTAAAGTAGTTCATTCACTTACAAATTCATTCCCATTATTTTCATTTCATCTACATCCATGTCACAAAAAGACTTTTTCACATGCATTGTTGAAATCTAGACATAGTTCAGTCCATTTGAAAATTATTCCGCATTTAGATGAAATAGGGACTAATTTCACCTGCATTCTCTTTATCTTATTGGGACCCGCTTTTTCTTTCCACCTCTTGGAACTGTTACTTCTCACCCAGGTGGCATAAAGTTAGGGTCACACTTAATGTGTTCTTAGGGCATTGGATCATTGCAAGGAAAGCAATTAACCAGCTTCTACAGTTAGAATGCTAGAAGTAACAAATGGCATTCTTTGCCATTATACATATGAAAAATTGTCTATGATCATTTCTTTATGTGGCTTTAATCACATATTCCTTTTGGTAGGAGTTTTTGCAAATCATATGTCCCAGATTCTAGTTTCTGAATTCCTTCTGGACCAAGAATCAGCTCTGACTACAGATATGAGCTGGCAGAAGTGAACTGATGGCTAGTGGTGGTGCCTTATAAATCATGGGCATGAATAAGAACTAAGGCCATATGATTGCCACCAGAAAGGACAAAGGAAATCAGAGGTAGTCAGGGACAGAGAGAGAGAGAGAGAGAGAGAGAGAGAGAGAGAGCGAGAGCTAGAAATGGCTTTATAGGCAAGAGAGGACAATTTAAGGGTCATCTTTGCCTTAGCCCGAAAAGGAGAGACCTATACCTATGGGTGAAATATGCAATTGAAAAAGATAGGGTTTAGTGGAGAAAGGTAGAACTGAGATGAGATTATAAAAGGCAAGGTAAATCAACTGGAAGATGCACAAATCAGTGGTGAGTGCTGCTTTCCTCACTGTTTCTATCCTCTGGTCCCTGTATCCAGTCTTCCATTTTCTTGGCTGCAAGGAGATAATGTGCAACCCTGCTTCCACTGATTAAATTTTCTCTTAAGTTCTTTGGAGTTTGAGCTGTGCTTTCAATCTTCTCACCACGCTCCCCTATCATACCTGCCCCAAAATGAAGTCAAGATTTTCTCCTCAAAATTGTTCCACAGAAAAGAATGAGTTTTGTTATGTCATGTCTCTACTTTAGAGAGTTTCTTCAATTATTTTGTTTTGAAAGATAAAAATCTTCAGGAAACACATCAGTTATGAATGACCTTAATGAATACTTACTTTGAGTGCTTCTTGGGTCACATAGCTGGATCAGTAAAAATACAAGGTAAAGAAATTTAGTGCCTAGGTCTTTGGGTGCAACATCACCTTTGGGAGTTCTGAAAGTCACTGTAAACAAACCTTTTAAAGATCACTTTCAAGACTAATACAATAACAAATGGCTACATTTCAGAGATTCTGAATACACATACAAAGAACAAATGAAAACAAATGACTGTTCTGATGTTATGTGAAAGCATACTTAGGTTTTGGATAAATTTCTAGCAACATGCAACAGTATCAAACTAGAATTTTAAAAGTGCTGTAATTCAAGGCACTTAGATGGGGAATGAAAAATAATATTTTAGAAAATTGCTATATAAAAAATATCTCCAGTGATGATTTTTAAAAAACAGTGGTGTGAATTTGTTTATGGAAAGTTTGAAGGATACTGGTTAGCGAAATGTGGGCATAGAGATAAGTAATAGTTCTAAACTAATACATTACTCATATAGTACAGACATCCATGGATTCAGTCAACCACAGATAAAATATTCAGAGAAAAACTGAATGTGTTGGTGCATATCTGTAATGCCAGGTACTCAGGAGGGAGAGGCAGAGGGATCAT